TATATAAATATATAAATATATAAATATATAAATATATAAATATATAAATATATAAATATATAAATATATAAATATACAAATATACAAATATACAAATATATAAATATACAAATATATAAATATACAAATATATAAATAGATAAATACATAAATACATAAATACATAAATACATAAATACATAAATACATAAATACATAAATATATAAATACATAAATATATAAATATATAAATATATAAATATTTAAATATTTAAATATATAAATATTTAAATATATAAATATATAAATATATAAATATTTAAATATATAAATATATAATTATATAAATATATAATTATTTAAATATATAATTATTTAAATATATAATTATTTAAATATATAAATATTTAAATATATAAATATTTAAATATATAAATATTTAAATATATAAATATATAAATATATAAATATATAAATATATAAATATATAAATACATAAATATATAAATATATAAATATATAAATACATAAATACATAAATATATAAATACATAAATACATAAATACATAAATATATAAATACATAAATACATAAATACATAAATACATAAATATATAAATATAAATATATAAATATATAAATATATAAATATATAAATATATAAATATATAAATATATAAATATATAAATATATAAATATATAAATATATAAATATATAAATACAAATATATAAATATATCAAAATATAAATATATTTTATATTTATATATATTTTATATTTATATATTTACACGGATAAATATAAATATAATTTATTTGTAAATTATTTTCAAAATAACCTAATAGCTTAGTGGTTGGGGTATCGACCTTCAACTCGATGTACTTGGGTTCGAATCCCGCCAATGACAATTCCCTTAATCTAATAATAATTCAAAGTTTCGAAAATATAATAAATAATAAAAATATAATATAAAGGGGAGGGAATTCTAGGTAATAATAAAAAATAAGGGAGGGGGTTGTAATAAATAAAAATATTTTGTTAAGGTAAGTGCATTACCTACGGATTATAATCCGTAGGTAATGCCAGACAGTGCATTACCTACGGATTATAAATCCGTAGGTAATTACCTACGACCAAATTACCTACGGATTATAAATCCGTAGGTAATTACCTACGACCAAATTACCTACGGATTTTACCCGTAGATAATAAGCGTTTTTTTTGTAGTGTAGCTCGCATGTATCATTTCTTTGAGTGACTCAAAATTCAACATCCATGACATCTCTCCAATGTTGACTCTGTGATGCTTGGTTGTATGTTACTAGATCTGCACCTACAAACATTGTAAAATTATAGGTGTCAAATGGATTTATAAGACAAAATTGAAGGAGATAGGGAATTGACAAATTTCAAGGCAGATCAATAGCAAAAGGAGAGGACACTCATTTATAGCGAGATTTTTGGACAGTAGCTCGTTTGAAAACCATTAGAACTATTGTTGCATTAGCAGCCACAAAACGGTGGAATATTTATCTTGATATCAAGTCAACCTTCTTACATGGGGCAAGATGATGTATACTTAGAACAACCATATAGGACTAGGTCTCTAAGGGGCGTGAACATCAGGTATTAAGTTACTGAAAACAGATAAAGGGGCAGACGTTCATGGTACTTTATTCAAACGACTTATAGGAAGCCTTATGTATCTGAATGCTACTAGAATGCCACTAGACCAGATATTGCACATTCAATTAGTGTGATTAGTCGCTTCATGGAGCATCCTAAAGACAGTCACCTCCTAGTAGCAAAACATATGTTGAGATATTTGCAGGGAACTCAAAATTTAGGAATTTTTTATAAAGGTGGAGGAAATGTAGAATTAATTTCCTATACTGATAGTGATTATGCAGGGGATCGAGAAGATAGAAAGAACACGTTTGATTATGTTTTCAAATTGGGAGATAGTGTAATATTTTGATCATAAATAAAAAGAACAAAAAAAAACAACAATTGGTTAGCTTATCCACGAAAGAAGCAAAATTCATAGCAGTTGCATTTTGTGTTGGCCAATGTGTTTGGCTGAGAAGAGAGCATCTAAATCACTGTCAAGAGGGAGCTAGTGTTATTTTTGTGATAATTCTTCTACAATAAAATTATCCAAAAATCCAAGCTTACATGGAAGAAGTAAACATATTGATTGATGTGACATTTCATTTTTTTTTTAAAAAAAACTTGGTTCTATTATCTTCGTAAAATAAAGGAACTAAATATATAGATTTAGCTTTACAACTGATGAAATAGAAAATAGGAAAGATACTTCCACATATTAATAAACTCACATGAACCAACAAAGATAACACCCATGTACTAACACCATGTGAACGACGTACAAAATTTAAACGACATACAAAAATTTTATATCCCTAAAATAAAGAAACTAAATATATGAACAAGAAAATAGGAAAGACAATTCCCACATACTAACAAACTCTCACGTACTAACAAAGATAACACCCACCCACGTACTAACAGCTTGTGAACCACGTACAAAATTTAAACCACGTATAAAATTTAAATTGCAACAAACAAATAAAACCTTATTCTCTGCGAACAAACCCTCCTTTAAACTTTATGCTCCGTGCAACAATTTATTTTTTGTTCTTCAAGCATGTCCAAAGTACTCTGTAAATACTGGAAACTATAAACTTCAAGTAATTTTGTCATTATGTCTATTAATTGTTTTTCGCTACTGTAATAGTTAAGCTCAATAGCACCTTATTACACAAATCTCTCAAAAAAATGAAATCTTACATCAATATGACGAATTAGAAAATAGGAAAGATAACTCGCACATACTACCAAATTTCCACGTACTAACAAAGATAAAACTCACACACTAACAGCATGTGAACCACGTAAAAAATTTAAACCACGTACAAAATTTAAACTACAACAAACAATTAAAACCTTATTCTTTATGAACAAACTCTCCCTTATACTATATGCCCCTTGTAACTATTTATTTTTGGTTCTTCAAGTATGCCCTATGCCCAAAGTACTTCGTAGATACTGAAAACTATCAACATTAAGTGACTTTGTCATTATGTCTGCTAATTGTTTTTCGCTACTACAATAGTTCAACTCAATAAAACCATTATTACACAAATCTCTAAAAAAATTAAATCTGACATCATATGTTCACTTCTTCCATGTAAGATTGTATTTTCATATAACATTATTATAGAAGCATTATCACAAAAATACAACAGTAGCTCCCTCTTGACAATGATCTAGATGTTCCAAAATTCTTGTTAGACAAACACATTGGCAAGCACAAAATGCAGCTACTATGAACTCTACTTCTGTTGTGGATAAGTTAACCACTGGTTATTTTTGTTATGACCAAGATATTACACCATCTCCCAATTTGAAAACATAACCATATGTGCTCTTTCTATCTTCTGCATCCGTTACATAATCACTATCAGTATAGGCAAGTAATTCTACATTTCCTCCATCTTTATAAAAATTTCTTAAATCTTGAGTTCCCTATAAATATCTCAAAATATGTTTTGCTGCTAGGAAGTGATTGTCTTTAGCATGCTCCATGAAACGACTAATCAAACAAATTGAATGTGCAATATTTGGTCTATTAGCATTTAGATACATAAGGCTTCTTATAATTCATTTGAATAAAGTTCTATCAACTTTTGTCCCTTTTGTCTCTTTTCAGCAACTTAATACTTGGAACAATACGATTCTTAACTAAATTACAGTCAAGCATATGAAATCTGTAACATATTCCTGATATATTTCATATGTCCAATAAAAATTCCATCACAGCTTTGCAAAACTTCAATGCCTAGCAAAAATCTCATTTTGCCTAAGTCACTCATAGTAAACTCATTCATCATCATACTTTTAAACTCTAAAGACATTAACAAATGCATTTCGATAAAATTTAAAGTCAAATTTTCATTATTTCAACAAATTAGTTTTATCATCCAATATAATTCTCACATCATGATACTTTTGAAATATACTGCATTTAAAAATATGTCTACATTATTGGTCTTTAAAAACAAATATGACGACAACAACAAAACGAAAAATGTAAAAATATATTGTCTTAAATTATTGGTTTTTACAAGCAAATGTGACAATAACAACAAAAAAAGAAGTAGATGACCAAAACAAATAAAAATTATATTTAGAATTTATTATTATTTTTAAATTATATATATATATATATATATATATATAACAAAATATATTATCAAATTAATTTATTATACATATATCTTCTAATAAAATAATATTACTTTTATTTTATCGATCAAATAATTATTTTATAAAACAGGTCAACTCATAAACCTTAGACTAGCTTGACTTAAACCTATTTAGACCTGACTTAAATAGGTTGAATCAAAATTTACCGGATTCAAAAGCATAAATTTTTTTGCTTAGTCCTACCTATTTTTCAAGCCTTTTGGATTGATACATTACACTAAATCTATTTTTACACCCTAACATTAAAATTACACAAATACATTTATATAAAAGGGGGGAAAACAACCATCCCGGTTATTTTTTTATACATAGAAATAATCATCAGTAGTGTGTTTGTGATTATATATTTTTTTACACTATGCAGAAAGCAAGAAAATGGTGCAAAGAAACTAGGATATCAAGAAAGATTACATATAATTACATGGAAGATTTGTCCATTTGTCTCAATTTACACAATGTCTTTAAACAGGACAATTGCTGACAACCAGACACTACCACTTAGTAACGACAATATCTGTTGATACAAAAAAAAAATAATGATGATATGATATTCAACGGTCAAACATTGCTCTGACCGGGTACAGGATCAGCCTATGTTCACCAAGATACAGGAGAAAAGGAACATAAATCTTGGCAATGCAATTGTTGTGTGGAGGCAAAAACCTGAACAATATTTCAAATTGCAGTCAATACCATTCAATTCAAGAATTAATTTGTTCTCTATGAGCTATTTGTCATGCTGTTGTAGATCAATTTCCCAGGCTGAAGCCAATTGCAATAAAAGTTGATCTGGCTGTACCCCTTCCCAGGCCTCAGTTGTATCGGTAGAAGCTTCATGTAAATTCAGTAAGAGCTCTTTCTTCACTTCCATAGGGATGCCAAAGGTTTCAGGGCCATTGTCCAATACTATCTCCAGCAACTGAACATTATGGTCATGAATTCAATATTTTATGCATCAAAAGAGAGATGTAGCAGCAGGCAAAATAAGAAAGCATGTGCAAATTGGAGTACTAAACAAACTATTTGTTGCAATATTGGTGTAGATTTATAATTTCAAGGAATTAATTTGCATAACCAACAATTTTTTAAATCAGAACGAATGGTCGGTCAAATACATCTTCAAGATAAAAGGTTTGATTATTTTAGTACAAGAGCTGTAATTCCATATAACAGGGAATTATACTATGTTATGGAAAGGAAGGAAAAAGCTTCTCTAAAGTGATGAATTAAGGGGTGTTTCCACCCTTGAGTTTTGGTGGGTTAAGATTAAGCAGCACTTCAAATTAAATGAATGTTGATTGCTGAATACACTCGCTATTGCTCTCTTTGGAAGAGCATTACCCAATATGAAATGCTTAAAATCTAGCAATAAAAAAAATGCACCTGACAGTCACTGACAGATTGCCCACAAATATTGACTAATGCTAATGCAGACAAGAACATGAAACTCCCCCAAAAATAAATATATATTAATCTAGCAATTATATCATAATAACTGCTTAAATAGACATAAATTATGGTCTTCAGTAACATACAGAGACATTCAATGAGGTAGACTTCCCCATCACTACCCTAAGTTGACTGTCTAGGTGATAAATTATAGAGAAGAAACATAAGGTATGCAATCCCTCCAACCAAACATTGATGCAAGAAAACACTAAGACGGCACCCCACCTGTAAGATGAGATCTTTCACTTAAGATTCGCAAGTGTTATGATCTTGTAACAATTTGAAAACCAAATCTTGAGACAGATGATTACATAGATGAGTCAATAAACCCTTGAACAATGTAAAATCATTTTTCTAGATGAAGATCTATTCCAAGATTCCATACTATCTGATAAAATATGAAGAAATAGCAAAATCATATATGTCCCTATTATATTTGAGATGTAGCAGGTATTATTTTGATGAGAGAATGTATGTGACTACAGAATCTACATATTCTGACTTGAAGAAAGGAAATTAAAACAGAAAAAAAAAAAGTCATACCTGTTGAATCCAAGACAAACAGATGTCATACATGTTCTGGTCAAGAAGGAATTGTCCAATGGCATTCACAATTTCACAAGCAACTTCACTTGAAAGCTGGTCAATTACAGGGCCTGTTCTATCCATTATCTTTACAAGCAAAATATCATCACCCGTGGACAATACTTCTGCAAAGGCTGAATCTATGTCACCTACTTGAAGGGCATCCATTGCATTGGTCCAAGAAGTCCAGATGGCATCCCTCTCTTGCCCAATGTTGTCATCGGCCAGAGCTTCTGCAGTCATTTCAGGGATGGCTACCCTTGTTGCCCTAGATGCTCCATTGTCCTCACCAGCAACTCGAATTGCTTCCAAGGTAGCTTCATCCTTAGAAGCTTGCCAGACACTTCTAGCGGAGGGTCCCTCACCAAGCCGGATGGGCATTGCTGCTTTATCCCAAGCTCTCCTGTTGCCTGCTTGATCACTCTCATGCACAGATTTTGGCGATCTTCCATCAGCAGAACTACCACCAAAAGCCCTCCTTGAGGAAACCTGGCTATTATTTCTAGAAGCACCATACCCAGGAAGATCCCACCCCTCGGACACGTCAGATCTCCAAGATGGCCCTCTTCCCCTCATTCCCAGGGTATTTCCATCAGATTGGGAAAATCTTTCACCAATTTGGATGCGTCCATCACCACCTCTTCCATACTTGGAACTGGAGAAGTCATTAAAACCATTATACTTGTTAGATGGCCTGCTAGATGATCCTTCAAACCCTGTGAAGTTTCTGCGACCTGATGATATGGATAAATCTCGTGACATGTCTTCAACAATTCTCTCAAGACCTCGCACTCTGTTCTCAAGAGTCACCATACTATCATGAGATCCACCCATGAAATCCTGCAAAATTGTTTAAACATCTATCACTTGTGAATAGCATACCAGAACTAATTTTTTGTGCCATACTGATCATACCTGAAGCATATTCATAAGATGAACTTGTTGCCTTTCCAGTTGCAGCAACTGCCTCTGGATGGCCAACCAGTTTCCTCTGTTATTGGAGAAGGGTACTTCTGATTGACCATCAGTTTTAGAAAAACCTGCAAGATTGGCAGAACTCTCCCTTTGATCATTTTCAGTCCTGTCATCGGTATCATATGCCTTAGTCCTCAGTTCTTTTGAGTTCACTCTCCTTTCAAAGTGTCTATCATGGCCAAAATCATCATAATTCCTTTGTTTGGAATTTCCATCATTGCCTCGTTCAGAGATTCGATATTTATTACTAGAGGATCCATGAAAATCATCGTTAGGGATGTTTCCAACAGAACTCATTCTTTCTTTCGAATCCTTAACATTTACCTCTGATTCTTCCTCATTGTTGGAGTTAGAAGAATTGAGGCCTCTACGGGGAACAACAACTTCCACTGGTAAATCATCAGAACCCCTTCTTTCAAGCTTTTGGAAAAATTCCGGATTTAATTCTTTATCAGATAATGCTGGTGCTTTTTTCTTAAGTATTACAACTGCTTTCTCTGATATGCCAGCTGCTTTTGCCTTAGAAGTTGAATCCATATTTGAAGAACTAGTTGATGAATCTTTTATTGATGAATCAGTCTTCCTCTCACCGAGATTTACTTTTTTCAGGTCAATTGTTTCTGATGAAATAGTTGATTCATTGCCACCATCTAAAGCATACAAAACAACCATCATCCCCAAGATAAACCAGGACTAAAATGGATTATGACAGACAAATCAAATATGCCTACCAGACGAGGGCTTTGAATCATCAGGAGATCCATCTCCTTTTCCTGCAATCTTTTTCCACAATTGCAATGCCTCATTGATGCTATCTCTTACAGGTTTTATCTGAAAACAGTAAAAGATTAATATAGAAAAAAGTAGATAATAAAGCAAAGAATTAGTTCTCCATTTCAATAAATTAAAATCTGCCATGCTAGGACAAATGATCCTTGGCCCAGACTATAAAGAGAACAGAATATACGGTACTATTGTCAGACACCTGATACACCAATCACAATTAAATGCACAATCAACTCTCTGCAGGCGCATAATTCCTTCAGTGCTATCTAAATGAGATACACTAATATGAAAGCAACAATGTCAAAAAGAAAAAGCTTATGTTATGTGGCTACCTTTATAAATGTTTTTAGGGTTTATATCCTTACTCCTCATTGAACTAATTTCCTTTCAGAAACAGAACATTTAAATAAATAAGAATTGCAATAAGTGGTAAGAGCGAGGAATAAAAAATAAAAATAGCATGGGATGTCAACAAGTTATGATTAAGAAATCTCTCTGCAAATCCTACCTTGTCAAATCGGCAAGCCTCAAGTACTGCCAATGTGGGTGCCACTCTATCAGTAACCAAACTGCTTGAATGCAATGCCAAAGAACTTAATGTCTCAGCTGCTGCTTTACGTGTTGCCCAATCCGTACTAGAAAGGCATTCATGGATGCTAGGCAGCAAATGTTCCAAGCTTTGTGGTGCAATCGCTCCAACCTGCAATCAATACCCAATTACCTCTGAGGAACTTTCATAGCAGTTTGATTCACCATAATATGGTAAGTTGGTGATTAATGAACCCAATTTGGACACACAAAAACAAATTTACAGAGTCAAAATTAAAGAGCATGGATCTTTCTAGCTTCTAGCATCCAATCTGATGAAACTATGTCAAATATTGAACTTGCAACTTCCAACTTCATTAGGATTAGCCTCTGCAGTTGCCAAATCCACTTTTCAACATCATTATCACCATGTTAAATTGAATTCTACAAATGCAAGTTTGCCAAAATAACCAGGTCTAACTAAATCTCTGTTTATATATCCCAATAATGAATCTACTACAATAAACAAGCACAAGCATTTGTTTAGCATATTAAGAATTAAAATAGAACCGAACAGAGTCAGACATACAGATAAAAAGTGATAGGATTGGGATCCAGCAAGAGAACTAAAACCAACACAAATGCTCCTCTTAGCGGGGAACTCCCTGAATATAAGTAAAGCACTCCACCGAAGTCACTTAATAACAAAAGGATAAAATTTAAATGCAGTTTTGTAAGTAAATGCGTGTTTGGATAGCCGTTCTAAGCCTCTAAGCAGCTTCTACTTGAATGTGAATCACATATTCACATCAAACGCCAAAAAGCACACCTGTGGATCTACATCGAAGCTTTATCCTAAAGAAAGCTCTGCATTAAGAATAATTAAGGCATCTCAAAATGCTGTATACTAAAGCTCCATTCATTCCAAATAAAATGCAAAACCATTGTACCACCTAATGACCAAAATAACCCTTCATGTCCAAACTCCACAAAACCATCTTTCATAATGGACTAAACTTTGACGCAGTTAAGTGTTGTTGGTGCTATTCTCCAATCGAAATTAGAATTTCAACTCAATAATCTATATAATAAAATATTCCATTGATTGTCGTATTGTATTATCGAAGTGAAATTCCAAATCGGACTTGTGAACAACACTAATAGCATGTATGGTACTACTCTTGGCAGGGTACTCCTAGGTATAACTCAAGCACTCTTCCATACCTAAATATTCTACGCAAACATTTAATGCAAATCTTTATTGCAAAAAGCATGGAGGTGAAATTCCAGTTCTGATTTGAGAACTTAACTAAAGAAACACCTATGGATCTGCATCTAATTTTCGTACTAAAGAAAACTCCAAATCACAAAATAACCAAATAACCTAAAATATTTTTCACTAAAGCTCTATTCATACCCCGAATAAAGCAAGCACAAAACCACAGCACCTCATAATGACCAAAATAACTCTCAAAGTTCAAACTCTACAAACCATTTCAAAATGGAGAAAAACTTAGAAGCACTTAATAATAACAAACTCCATTAATTATCATCCTGTATTGTTGAAGTGAAACTCAAATCTGATTCAAGAACAAAACCTATACCATCTCTAAGTTTTACTCAAAATAATTCACATCACTCCACCAACCTTTAATCCCACTCCACCCAACCCACAACCCCACAACAACAACAACAATGCAGCCCCCTCACCTGTGACAAGCTGGCAACCACCGGCAAAATCGCCGCCTTAGCCATGAAATTGGGACTGCTGAGCAGCTTACAGATCCTCGGACACAGTTTCTGGAACGCCGGCACCGGCGCCTCCCCTCCGCCGCCAGCACACTCAACCATCTTGGTCATGCACACCGCCGCGCCCGCCTGCACCCCCTTGTTCTGCTCCCCCATGGCCTCAAACAACGGCTTCACGAACAGCCCCACCACCGTCCCAACCCCCCCTCCGCCGCCGTCGCCCTTCAAATACTGCGCAGCGAGCGCGCCGACAGTGTCACGGCAGGCGTCGCGGACAGCGGAGTCCGCGTCCTTGAGGCGGCGGACGACGTGCGCGATGATCTTGGTAAGGTGCGCGGCCGCAGCGTCGCCGTGAGCAGCGCAGACGGCGGCGAGGAGGCGGAGTGCATCGCGCTTGACGGCGGGCTTGGGGTCGGTGGCGGCGTCGTAAAGGCAGTTGAGGATCATGGGAATGGCGTCAGGCGAGAGCGCGGCGATGGTCTTCTCGAGGTCCTCCACCGCGATCTGGTGCGTGTCGCGGTCTGAGAGCTTGGAGAGAGAAGTGAGGATCCTCTGCTTGAGCTCCACCATAGCAAGGTGGGAGGAGAGAGAAGAGGAAGAAGATGAAGATCTTGATGAGGGTGATGGCGTTGGGGTTGATTGGGCTTGGGGTTTTGGATTCTTCATTGTTACGAGGGAGTGAAAAGGTTATGTGAGTGAGTTAATGGTTCTGTTTTGAATTGAATGCAACGAAGAGAAGAGAGTGGAATTAGAGAAAAAGTGGAAGCAACGTTTGAAAGGAAAATGTGAACTGATTTGAAGTGGAGTGAGTTGGAAACAAAGGGTGGATCTGTGAGGGAAAAAGGGTGGAAGACAAGTTTTCAAATATCATACATAACTGAAAATGATCCACCCTTTCTTTTTTGGTAAATAATATTCAAAATCAATTTATATTTTTTATAATCCAAAAATTAAATTAAATTTTCTATTCTTTTGAAAATTATGTGTGTGACTTGTGTTTTTTTTAAGTGGAAGTTAAGGATATGGAAAATTGTGATGGGCCAATTTTTATTATTATATAAAATCAAATAATTGGAATATGAAAATAGAGTTTTTGGGTACTGAAAACTGTCCTTCTAGGGCTATGGGTAGGTATCACTGGCTTATTGGGATAGGGTTAGATCCCAAAGATGTGAAGAGAAATTCAGTGACTTTTTCTTTTTCATGATTTGGGAGAAAAAGATTTGGGGAAAAAATTAAGATTCATTTGAATGTTTATTTTCTTTTCTGTAAAAGAAAATAATAATAATAATAATAATAATAAAAAGTCACGTGAATTTCATCTTATTCATACGAAGTGTTGTTTGAAAATTAAATATGTTTTAAATGTAAAAAATTTAAAAATAATAATAATAAATGTTTTATGTAAAAATAATGATTAAGTAAATAATTTTTTCCTGTTTTTTTCACTATTTAATTCTAAATTCAAACAAAACATACCCTAATTTAAACATTCAAATTAGACCATGCTCACTAAATTAATTATCCGAATAAGAATAGATACTATCTACAAAAGAAAAATTACATCATAAATAAATACTATATAATAAAAATGTTTATAACAATTATCTTAATTGAGATCCATATCTAAAATATTGTGAAAAATAATGCTTAAGAAGTTAAATTGGTACAAGTCTAATTCCAAAAGATAAAATCATTCCATACACGTAAAAATGCTAATTTAAAAGATAATTCAATACTTCACCTAAAATATTTAAATTTCTTCTTACTATAATGAGTAAGAAAATGATGTGATTTAGCATGTATTATTTTTCAAATACGATGGTTAAAATATTTTTGAAAATATTTTAATTGATTCCTTTAAAATGGTTAATTAACTTGTTTTTATCGTATAAACAAAATATATTTAAAAATAAAAATTACACTTCATTTATTAGGTTTAAAAAAATACACATTTGTTTTATTTATAATTGATTGTTTGGTTCAAAGTCTAGTAGAAAAACATAACCTAATTTATATATAATTGTAAATTACGTAAACTTAATATAGCCAAAATAAATAAATTACTAAAGAGTTATTCCCCAAATCTAGGGTAAGTTATAGATAAATAAGGTTTTTCAATATCAACCAACATTACCAATCCTTCATTTTAAAATCCGTTTGGGTGAAAAATATCAATATATTAAAATAAATGAAAAGTAATAATTTTCTTTATTTGATAAAAAGAAAAATAATTAAAAATATATATTTTGTTTATAATAAACATGTTTTACTTTCTTTTCATAGAAAGGAATGAAAAATAATATATATATATATATATATATATATATATATTATTTTACAAAATTATTCTTACTTAAATAAATTATTATTTATTTTTATATTTATAATTTTAATATATATATATATATATATAAATTTTAATATATATATATATATATACTTCTAATTACTATTTTAATAAAATATCATAAATACAAAAGTAATTATAAAAATTAAATAAATAATTTATATATTATTTATTTATTTATTTATATATAATATAATGTTATTTTATTAATTTAATTTTAAATAATTAAAAATTATAATACAAATATTTTATAATTATATATCAAAGTATATATTAATGGAAAATAAGATATATAATTTAAAGAAATTACTCTAAAAAAATAATTTATTAATAAAAAATTAACTAATAATTATATAGATAATTTTATAATTAAATAAATATTTTATTTTAATTTATTTTTTTTAAATAAATATTTTTTCTTTTCATGTCATTTTTCTTTAAAAAAATATTTTTAACTTTATTTTATTTCTCTTTCTTTTTTTCTTTCTTAAATTCTTAATTTATTTAAAAATAAATTTTTATTCTTAATTTATTATTAAAAAGTCTTTATTAATAAAATAAATACTGAAATTTGATAGTTTTTTATATATTATATAAATTTTTCAAGCAAATAAAATTATCTTTGATAATATTGAAATAAAATACTTTCAAAATTTTAAAATTTGATAAAATAAAAAGTCATTACATAAATATTATATAAAGTATTGATGTATGTAGGTAGTAAAAAAATAATATATATATATATATATATATATATATATATATATATAATTACAACTACAACTTAATAATAAGATATAAAATATAAAAATATATTATAATTAATTTTACAAAATAATAAGACAGGTGGATTTAATCGGTAATTGATTTAGAAATTGATTTATTGATTTTAAATAATTGGATTTTAATTAATTATTATTCGGTTTTTCACTTTTTATCTTTATAATTTTTATTGTAAGGTACTATGACAATGATAATTTTTATTGTTGTTTTTTAAGTATTATTATTATATTATAAAAATATTATTTTGTTAATTTTATATTAAATTTTTAAATTTTAAATTCATATATTCATTAGTTTAGTAATCAATCCAAATTTCAAATTATTGATTAATATACTAAAATGAGTCTATAAGCACAAGTATCACTATTTGGCATCTTGATTACCCTTTTATATAATATTCCTCCTCCTTAGGTTTATTACCATTGGTGTCATTACTCACAACTAGTCGCAATCAAAGTCGAAACCAAGGTTCATTCCTAACATATTTGTTGACTTTAGTTATGTAATAAGTTATGATAGAGGATGATTAGTTATAATGCACTCTAAGCTTCATCTCACAACTAGCTGTAACTCAATATCTAATGTATCTAGTCCATCAAATAAAGAAGATGAAAAGGAAAATCAAAATAAAGTCCCAATCAATGACTTCAGTGTGGGTAGAATGTAGTGAGTGGAATCACTCCAAACCACCACAAAAAAAAATAATGCATTTTTGGATTTTTTTTTCATAAATAACACTATTTTAAAAATATTTTTCAAAATAGTATATCCGGAATATTATTTACCCAATTAGCACTGTTTACTGTTCACAGTACTTTCGCTCAAACAAAAAATGCATCGCTTGAGCGAAGAGACTTGAAACTTAAGGGTTTTGTGGGGTTTAATTTCGCTCAAGTGACAAAATTCTCACTCGAGCGAGAAGTTCTCTAACTCAAGCGAAAAACCCTTCGCTTGAACGAGGAGACCTGAAACTAATGGGTAATTAAAAGCAATGAGGGGGAGATTGATGAAAATGTCCCTACATTCCCAAGAAATGATTTTGATGATGATTCAAGTCAACTACATTCAAGTCAACACCATTCTAGATGAATTAAGGACAAGCTAAATTTAAGACGTTGGTGACAATGTGAAACATTTCCTTACATGCCCAAAATATGTTTTTGATAAAGATGATGATTCAAGCAAGCCCAAGATGATTCTTGAAGACTAGATAGAGTCTTAGAATACTGGATATAGAAGTACAAGTTGATGAAGTAATATTATGTATAAGTCTCCAAAGTACAAGTGTGATAAAATTCATAACATGATATTTTTCACTCTCATAATCAATTATGATGCATCAGAAATGAAAAAATGATTTTCTCTGTCATAATTGATTATACTGGTAACATAATCAATTATGACAATTCAAATTTGAAAAATATATTTGTTTTAAAGAATAAATGTTTTTGAATATATCCTGATTTTTATTCATGAAAATATTAATGTCCAACGGCCATTTTCTAATGTTATTTTTCTATTTAATTAAGTTTTGATGAAAAATAAAAAAATACACAATTACAGAATTCGAAAATACAATTTACATTCAATCAGTCTTTGAGAAAAGAATTCTGAGCAAGACAACAAAGATATTTTACACCTTCTGAGAAAACCCTCTTTTTTACTGTCTTCTGTGCTTTTATTGTTAATCACACTTGTTCTTGGAGATTGACATTCTACAAGCTTCTACAATTTGTTGTCTCCATTACCCAGGTGTGACTGTTCTTATCTTACTCCTTCATCCTTTGTGAGTTTAGGAGGTTTTTTCATCCTTTGATTTGTTCAAAGGAGGTGTTCATCCTTAGTGGGATTCTAAGGAGGTGTGTTCATCCTTTAATTTGTTCAGAGGAGGTGTTCATCCCTAGTGGGATTCTAGGGAGGTGTTCATCCTTAGTGGGTTTCTAAGGAGGTGATTGTCTTTCTAATTAGTTTACTTTTTACTGGTTCTTCTGCTGAGTTGATTGTAATTTGTAAACTGAATTTGGAAGATAGTGAATTGGGAGTCACTCTTGTGTTAAGAGTTGACTAGAAACTGGATGTAGGGTTGGTTATACCCGAACCAGTATAAATTACTGTGTGCTCTTCTCTTTCCCTTATCTCTTTCTCTTTTCCTGATTATATTATCGTTTCCACTTTATCTGTGTTCAAACAAATTATTGACTCACAAATAAATTTTTAATTTGACATTTATTTTAATTTGTGCATCTATTCACCCCCTCTAGATGTCATTTGTCTAACAAGTGGTATCAGAGCTTGATTAGATAAGATATTTCTAAACGATCTGTCAAGATGTCTATGCAGAATCAGGTTTACAAGGAAGGAGCCTCAATAAATAGACATCCACTATTTGAAGGTGAAGACTATCAGTTTTGGAAGACGAGAATGAAAATATTTTTAC